CTAATAGTGTTGACCTAAAACAAACCATAATGTTCAAATAGCATCAGCAAAGGTCCTTATAAGATCTTAGGGAATCAGATTTGGTTTTAAAATTAATTATGGGGAAAAGGTTGGAGTGGTTCTGGACAAGGTATGAAATCAGGTTCCAGATCAAAGATTAATTTCATCATTAATTTCTATCTAGATTATATATCTATATTATATTAAATAGATTGTAGATTTCTATCTATCAGATCGTGGCTTCATGTACCAAATATTTCAATATCGTTGCATCCGATATTTTTGTTTTGTTCCAACAGTGTGATGAAGAATAGATCCGAGAAAGAGACCTTCATTTCCTGTCTCTTATTTATTTATTTTATTTTTATTGAATTTTTTATTTTCTAAAAGGAAAGATACTAAGCAAGAACATGCAGTTTTCAGTTAACTACTTAAACCCTTCAAATCAGTGATGATCTTATGTAGACAAGAAGATTTTACACATTTATAGAATTTGACTAAGCTTGTCATAAGGGGAGAGAGTTAAAGATAAAGGAAAGATAATGTATTAGAACAAGTTTAACTCAAACATAAGTCTAGGTTAGTACATGAATATGAAAATGATCATGCTTTTATTTTTTATAAGTTATCACTTGGTTATAGCAAAGTAACTAGGTTCTCTTTTAGGGAAGATAATCTTAAAAGATAAAATACATATCAACACTTTCAAAGATTAATGATAACCCTAAAGGATTATAGATAGGAGGTATGATACTAAGTAAGCATGCAGCTGAGGATGTTGACTAATCAAGAAAATAATCAAGTTCGGCCTACCAAGTTACTAGTCCTTATAATGAAGAAAGGGAAACAGGAAAATGATTGTGTTATGAGGAAAGATAACTTAGACTTAACTGATGTATACTATAGGACTATTGGGAGAAGATAAGAGAGTTTAATTCAAACAAGAGTAGATCAATAGAAATAACAGCAACTAGACAAAGTAAAAGACCATAGTGGCTACTCAAAAATAACTTAACAAACACAAGCAGAGAAGAAAATATATAAACGCTTAGAGTCTATGCTTAAGGTTAAAGGATAAAAGATATAAACTTAACACCTTCATATTCATTCAGTCATAATTATAAAATAATAAGCTCAACTTCAAGACTCACAAACTACAGAGATGCACAGATAAGGATAAAGGTTACTGTAGATCAATGAAAGCTATGAAGTTCATGTGAACATGAACATATAGTAACTTAAATATGTAGACTATTGGAAACTCAGGAACAAAGATTAGCAGGAATCAATTAGTGGTTTAATCAATCATCGATTAAAGACTCAAAGCAGGACAAGTAATTATAAGTAGCCATTAAACTAATTGAACATAAACATTAACATACTGAGCACCATAAAACAATTGTAATACTCAGAATATGACTAGCACATTTGTAGCATCCAAATGGAGTGAACAAAGGAGAAGAATGCAAAATGTGCTGACCTTTTTTAGAGCAACAGACCAAACGAAGCTCTTTCTCAGTTGCTTTAGACCCCAGAAATCTCAAGTTTGAACCAACGACAGTACTCAGCAAATGAAAAGATAAGAACCCATAAGAAAACCTAAGATTTGAATCCTAAATTTCTTAGTGTTTTTGTGTGTGTTTCTCTTCAGTGTTAGATGGTTGGTCCGTGTTTTCTTCGGTGGTTAGTGATGTTAGGTGAGAACATTAAAATCATATTTATAGTGCCATTTAAGGCTATATGGTTTCAACAGAATTCAAATTAGATAGTGGAAGATGACGATGAGCTGATGGTGTGAGCAATATGAGTGAAATCAGAGAAGAGTAGAGGGGAAAACAACGAAGATTTTTACCTAAGAAGGGAGATTGATCGTTGAAGGCAGAGGATCATCGGACAAGACTTAAAACCCAGAGGTCATTGAGTTTGACCTATGGGTAAACAATCCTCATAATGAATCCTCTGAAAAACTTCATGTATGATCCGATTTGAAAGAACATAACAGAAACCAGACGATTTGAACTTTCGTCTTTGTGTCCAGGGTTAAGCTTTTGGGGATTTTAAATTTTATCGGTGAAAGGGGAAAGGTTTAGCGAGAATCGCAGACAAAAGAGATAGGATGGATAATTTCTTTATGGATTCATGACCTTGCACGAATTTGTGCAAGGTTGTTTGATTGATTTGAGCCTATGAGCTTGAGAGAAAAGGGAGAGAAAGGGAAAAGTGAGGCAGCCGAGTGAGTGTTAGAGTGGTTAGGGTTTGGGAGATTTGGGGGGTGTCCCTAGGTTTAAGTTATGGAGATGGGCTCTTAACCGTTGATCTTTGAGATCAACGGTCCAAATATTTTGGGTTTAAATGATTTTTATGGGAAAATTTGATGGTTGTTGGATCCTTGTGATCCAACGGTTGAGATTAAATCTCTGGGTGCTTGAAAATTTAAAGAGAAAATAGAGTAAAAATCATGGGCCGTTGATCATAGAAATGGACGGCCCAGATAATTTGTGTTTGTTTTTGTGAGTGATAAAGACGGGTGACGTGACGTGCTTTGATTGGTTCAAATGGTTTGGGGCGGATTGCCAACCTGGAATGGAGAGGTCGTTTGGACTGGGTCAGATGAGGGGTTTGGCCCGATATTGGGCCAAAATTAATTTAATGAATGGCCACTTTATATTTAATTAAGGAATTGCAATTGTAGCCATTTCGATCTTTAACCCTTTTATAATTAATTTAATTAAACTTAATTATTTTCAATAAAATACAGTATAATTATTAAATACTACAAATTATTACAATTAATTATTTATAAAAATACTTTATTTTTCTAGATTGTAACACTAATTTTGAATTATTAATATAGTAATCTAATTAAACAGAATTAAAGAGTAATTAAATTAATTATAAAATCTATGTATAGAAATTATTTTAATAATCCTAAAATAGTAAATATATTTGTAATTACATAATATCAATGCTATGTGATTAATTTTAAAACTAATGCTTAGTTAATTTGTGAAAAATAGATATTCATTACTGGAAAATACTTTAAAAATATTTATTGTAAATTATTAAGTATAAATAAATTAACTTAAAAAGGAAGAGTCAAAATTGGCCGTCAATATCCATCACTATGCATTGTACTATAATAAGTATCATGCGGTTATTGAGGGGTATAATGATGCAAATTGGATCATTGGATCAACCTAAACTAAATCCACAAGTGGATATATTTTTACAATCAGTGGAGGAGCAGTGTCTTGAAAATCGTCCAATCAAACATGCATTGCCGCTCTACAATGGAGGCTGAGTTTATAGCCTTAGACAAGGCCGGTGAAGAAGTTGAATGACTCCGTAATTTTTTTAAATTTCTTGAAGAAATTCCATCTTGGCCCAAAATATTGGCACCTATATGCATACATTCCGATGGTCAAGCGGTAATAGGAAGGTCTGGGAGCATTATGTATAACGAAAAATCTTGTCATTATACGACGAAGACAAAAAACAGTTAGGCAACTACTCTCTAGGGGAATTATCATAATTGACTATGTGAAGTCAAGAGATAATGTGTCGGATCCATTTACAAAAGGCCTAACTAGAGAGGTAGTTGAAAGATCATCGAGGAAAATGGGTCTATGGTCGAGAACAAGTCATTGTGGCGGTAACTCTACCTAGAAGACTAGAGATCCCAAGATCTAGGTTCAAGGAACTCAAACAAAGTCACTAATGATGGTTCAACATTGTCAAATAAAATTTCTTTTTGGTCCATTCTCGTGATGAGACAATGTTCGGTACCAAGGATAAAGCGTTAAGGGTTTTTAATGGTTTCTAAGTTTGATACGAGGTATATCAAATAGTGTATCTATGGGATAACACGTTTAGGAATCACCTATGTAAGTGTGAAGTATTAGCCGCTTGAAGGAGAGTTCTGTAAGGCCAATTCTCTATGCACTTATGAAACCAGGCGATGTTCATGGATGAAACGAACACAACAATGAGAACCAAAGGCGGTTAAGGGTTGATCGTGTGACTTATGATTGTCTACATATACACTAAAGCTCGACAGTTCAAAGATATCAAATCTACCGATTGACCAAGTATATCCGACATATGGTCACTACGGAAACTTCAAAGGGAAACCTACTTATCCATATGCGATTAATCCTTACTTGCGAATCACACAAGTTTTTTCATATATTTTAAACATATTACCATTCCCCATTCATGCGGGGGAGTGTTAGGTTTCGTGAATTGGTGTGAATGGAAAATGGAAGAGGCATCTTTTGAATTGCACCTCTTCATCTCACCCTTTCATTGTCTATAAATTTAGAGTCTTAGTCTCATTTTTCATACATGAAAAATCTGAAAATTTTTCCCCTCTTTTCTACATTATTGCATTGTTTACCAAATAAACATAAGTGTCAAGTGTGATTTGCATTATTGGACTTAGAACTTTTGAACGGTCAAATATGTTTTATAACCCATAAAAGTTTGTGATTCAAATAAAGTCCAAAGCAAAATCATATCAATGAAAATGCTAACAAAAAATTTTGGATATTTATTTTCTTAGTTTTTCATTACTTTAAATAGTGAAAATGCATAACTTACTTTTAATATTATTTAGTTATGTAATTAATACTTAGTTCTTATTAGTCGTACTTATTTTAACATGATTTAGTACTTTTAGATTATGTTTATTTTTATTATGTCTTATTAATTAGAAATATTTATTTTATGCGATTAATTGAGAAAATGATATTGTATAACTGCTCTCAAAATAATAGCTGGAAAAAAAAATATTTTTTAGTATAATTTATGTGTGTATATATTTCTGTATATTATATATATAAAATATATAAATTTAATATACTTTTACGATTGTCGGATATAAATAGTTTCGATCGCGGGATAAAAGAAATAAATTGGCGTGCTTATTGGAAACAATAATAATGATACACAAGCCCGCCAACGTTTCTCTTTGGCCCATTTGCACATTTTCTCTGGACAAATGAAATGAAAAGCGAAGGTCCTTCTATAGAAAATATGCCCCGATCAGATACATTCTCCCACTTATGTAACTTACAAATACAAGATACAAAAAACAAAACAAAAAGAAAAGAGGATCTAATGCAAAGGGGAAATGGACAGAAATGAGGCTTTTGATCTTTGGCCACATGATGATTCAGCTTGAGAAATCTGTGGTTAAAAGAGACTTCACTTAGACTTGAATGGGATTGCCCGGATCACCACCTGGTGGTATAGAGCTGCTAGTGCTGCTCCAATAAATGGTCCAACCCAGAATATCCACTGCATCAAACATCATTCATCACAACAAGTCAGCAAAATTATTTAGTGAATCCTAAAAAGTAAAGGAAAGAAAAGGGGGTGAATTAAGTAAGTAATTATACGTGGTCATCCCATGCGTGGTCTTGGTTGTAGATGATGGCTGCGCCAAGACTCCTAGCTGGGTTGATACCAGTTCCAGTGATTGGAATTGTGGCCAAGTGTACCAAGAACACAGCAAATCCAATAGGCAATGGTGCCAAAATCTAAATTAAAACATAACCCAATTTCAACTATCAGTTTTAAGGCCACAATTAATTACCCACAAAACCTACTACTTTCTTTTACTGAATTAAGGCTATGAATACTTACAGGGACATGTGAATCCCTAGCACTACGCTTAGCATCAGTGGCAGAGAAAACAGTGTAAACAAGGACGAAAGTACCAACGATCTCAGCACCAAGACCTGATCCCTTTGTGTAACCAAGATTTACAACATTGGCACCACCACCCTTTGTTTGATAAAGAGTTTTGCCAAACCCTTTGACCACACCAGCACCACAGATAGCTCCAAGACACTGCATCACCATGTAGAACACTGCCCTTGTCAACGACAATTTCCTTGCCAAGAACAGCCCAAAAGTCACTGCTGGATTTATGTGTCCTCCTGCAATATTCCCCACAACAAAAACAAATGGTTAGTTAGTAGTCCGCAACATAGGCGGATGGAGCCTTGTAATTGGTTCGACTAAACTCAGTATTCTTAACATATGCATGCAAATTATTACGAAACTTCAAAATTACATAACGTTTATTGGGAATAATCTTAATTGTTGAACTCGTAGAATTAGATTTTGAATCCATCGCTAGTCCACAATATACTCAAACCACTAGATCTAACAAAATATTACCCCCTCTATCTCAATTTATGTGAATGAATTGAGGATACGAAGGAAATCAATTAATTTTCAATTTGAATTTGGATATAGATTCTTCAATTTTTTAAAATAACAATTACAGTACATATTTGATATTATATGAAAAATCGACATGGTTAATAATTCAAAATATTTAAAGGGGCTTGAGATAATCAAAGTAAAAAATAAAAAATCTATATAGCAACACCTTCGATTAAAATGAGACAAGTAAGAATATACTTTTAGAAATGCGTACCAGAAATGCCAGCAGTACAGTAAACAAGGGCAAAAATCATGCCCCCAAAAGCCCAAGCAATGCCTTGAATACCAACAGTGGAGCATTTGGATTCAGACTTTGAAACACCCATCACTGTTAAGATAGTGATGTAAAGGAAGAGGAAAGTGGCCATAAACTCAGCAATTCCAGCACGATAGAATGACCAAGACGTCAATTCTCCTGCCTCAAACAGTGGCGCTGGTGGTGGCTCCTTATAATCCTTGTCACTCTGCGCTGCCGTCCCAATTGCCTGCCTCTCTGAATATTTGTTTGCTCCTAATCTTACATCTTCTTCTTTGTTCTCCATTCTTTTTTCTCAATTCACAGCTAAAAATTACTCGACTTCAGAAAGAATTAATGTTTACCCGTTGATGGGAGTGAGTGAAGTACTAAAGGTGTTTATATAGGAGTACTATGCAATATTAGGTAAGTTAAAGGGGCCCCTACTGACATGCATTAATGATTTAAGTTTCATTATCATAGTGACCGACCATTCATAATTCAGTGCTTCGTATCATTACTTTTTGTGGAATTGAGCTGTTTTTTGTAAAGATTTTGTGAAGAGAGACGTTGGAGTTTTTGTCCTTTTTATTCTTTTCCATGGTTAGATCCTAGCTGTCACAAGGATGTCCATATGATGTACAACGTTTTTTTTTTGATAATGGACCATCGGCCACCGCCCAATTTAATTATGTGGTTGAAAATGCAATTTTGCATATGGCAATTTGTAAGTGCTCCTTGGGCCAAACTTTCCTATGATGTGCCTAGACTTCTTCGCTCTTAGTGTATGACTTAAGTAACCACCAGTTATTAAATTCATTTATAGCTTAGAATTCTCAAATTAAGTTGAAGTACAGAAAATAAACTAAATACACTCTAGGTTCTGGCGAAAAACAGAAATAAAGGAAATTTTATGACCAATAGCGGCACCTTGTTTCCAATAATATTCATCAATCAACAGATCAAAATGAAGTTATAAGTTTAAACATTGCCAGGTATGCCTCACTATAACCTAAGGATTGTTTGGTTACCAGTTAAGTATAAAAACTTGGGATTGTATAAGTTATCCCATCGAAAAAGTGGGAATAGTTAATCACATCTGATAGTCTATCCCCACAATTTAACCAAATGACCCTAAAAATTATGTTGATTTATGCAAAATTCAATATGCCTAGTTTATAAAGTAGATTTGTATCCAAGTGTATATGCCTAGGTTAGTAGATTTGCATCCAAGTCTATATATATCCTTAGTTTAAACTAGTAGTATTAGTAGATTTGGCTGTCAAGGACATATAGAAAGTTTTAAATGAAAGCATGCAAACCTTGCTCACCCGTCAAACTTGGGTTTGTGAATAGTAATATCACGTTTTGATTATTGATTGCTAGAGCAACACGTGGCCAGCAAAACTTTTTCCAGTCAGCTGATTGCCTTGATTTTGTTGTCTGACATATGGGAAAAATAAAGTGCACTGAATTTGGTCGAAGATTGGGACAAATTGGGAGAACTAATAAGGCAAAGTCTGTGGGAATAGTCCCCGAGCACGATGGCTTGGGATAGCATTGCAATCAATCACCTCTCCCTACCAATTGGACTTTGTAGCCATTGGTATCGATCATCTCCCTCAACTTAAATGCATCACTTTAAGTATCAAGAATACATTTATTTGGTTTAAGATTTTCACATGCTAATTAAAAGTTAGTGATATCAATATACTTTTTCAAATAGCTATAGTGAAATTTAAAAAAATGACAATATCTTAATTTTTCAAAATAACAAATATATTAATAGAACAAAATATTATTTAAGTGACAGATGGAAAAGATAGGAAAAAGTATGTGTAACGACCCGCCCGGTCGTTTTGAGGTCTAGCACGCCGTTCGGCGGTTTGAGGCCTTGAGTAGCTTCAGTTCAGGTATTATGACTTGTACATGTGGTCGAAATTGAATTTCGGGAAGTTCGGGATTGATTTGAAAAGAAAATTCTAATTTCGGAAGATTTAAGTCGGAAGAATTGACTAAGGTTTGACTTTTGAGTAAACAATCTCGGACTCGGGAAGGTTTCAATAGGTTCATGTGGTGATTTCGGACTTTGGCGTATGTCCGGGTTGAGTATCGGATCATCCGGGGATAAGAGTGGCAAGTGGGCCAGTTCTGGGCCTAAGTGGGCTAAGTGGGCCGGTCCAAACGGTCTCGGTCCCGGATCGGTCCCAATTTAAACGGGCCAAATGGTCCCTGTCCTGGGGATCTTTTTGTAGGGACCGGGCCCACGAACTAATGGTCCCGGACTAAACGGTCCCGGACCACGGGCTAAGTGGGCTCATTTGGGCCCAACACATACTTTTTTAAAAAAAAACAATTATAGAAATTAGAGAAAAAAAGATGTTAATAAAAATATCTAAGGCAATTTCTTGTAAATTTTATTATAGAATTGTGACCTCAATTTTTTATTTCAAATTTAAAGACAAAAATATTGTAAAGAGATATTCAAAGCAATGCGTTATAATTTTATTATAGCATTAAAAAAATATGGCAATATCTTTCTTAGTCTTCCTCCCCCCTATGAAATGAGCATAACAAGGTGTTAATACCACCATTGAGAAGAAAAAAAAACTATTTATAGTTGAAAATAGGGAAAAAGTATAATTATAAAACGTTTGGGGTTAAAACAAAGTTCGGGTGGGGGGATTAAATGGCTATTTTGTAAATAGCCAATGGCTATTTTTTAAAGGCCAACGGCCAGATTTTTCAAAGGCCAACGGGCAAGTTTTTCTTTTTTGAATTTTGACCGTTGGGACCGTTTGGGCCCGCCAAGGTCCGATCCCAATCCGGTCCCGGTCCCAAACGGTCCTGGGCCTAGCAATCCTAAAGTGAAGAATCGGGCCGGAAGACCGGACCAGGCCTACGTACACGGTTCTAATCAGTCCTGGACCGGTCCACTTGCCACACTTACCCGAGGACATTTCGGTGCTTATTATGGAAGGTTGGCATTTTAAAGGTTTAAGAATTTCTTTAGTTTGATTTGAAGTGGACTTTGGTGTTATCGATGTCCGTTTGAGGTTCTGAGTCTTGGAATAGATTCGTATTGTGATTTATGGCTTGTACGCAAAATTTGGAGTCATTCCGGAATGCTTTGGTATGGTTCAAATGCATTCGTCGAAGTTTGAAAGTTAAAGAAGGATTTCGATTGTCGATTCGTAGTTTCGATGTTGTTTGGCGTGATTTGAGGTCTCGACTAAGTTCATAATATGTTTTGGGATGCGTTGGTATAATTGGTTAAGGTCCCGAGGGCCTCGGGTGGATTCCGGACGGTTAACGGATCGATTTTTGACTTAAGGAAAAGTTGGAAGATTCTGGTTGCTGGTGCAACCGCTTCTTCGGAATCTTCATCGCACAAGCAGCCTCGCAGAAGCGAGGCAGTAGACTGCAGAAGCGGCTAGAAGGGAGGTGGGTAGAGGCCTCAGGTACGAAGGGATTCCCGCACCTGCGTGACCGCAGAAGCGGTCCGGGGGACACAAAAGCGGATGAGAGTGAACAAGCTGAGGTCGTAGGTGCGAAGAAATTCCCGCACCTGCGTGATCGTAGATGCGATTATTGGAGCGCAGGTGCGGACCTTGCTGGGGAGGCTGGGATCGCAGATGCAGTCGAATTCCACAAAAATGCAACCGCACTTGCGAATGAAACATCGCAGAAGCGAAGGCGTAGAAGCACTAGAGGGACCACAGATGCGGAGGTTGAGGGCCTGAAGGGAGCTGGAGAAGCGGACTTTGTGCCGCAGAAGCGGCTAATGTTCCGCAGATGCGAAAATATCGCTGGGCAGAGGACTTGGTTTTATACGGGATTTGGTCCATTTTCTTTAACTTTCACTTAGTTGGGGCGATTTTTGGAGAGCTTCAAGGGGGAGATTTTATCAAGCAACACAAGGTAAGTGATTCCCACCTATTACAAGCTAAATGCATAGTTTGTATATGGATTTAAACATGGAAATTAGTAGAAACATGCGGATTTTGGTAAAAACCTAGAATTTGGTATTTTTGGATTTTGACCACGAAATTGGACATGAAATTTGGAATAAGTTATATATTTTATTTCGTGATGTTATGGGTAAAGTTTATCTTCGAAAATTTTCGAAATTCGGGCACGTGGGCTCAAGGGTTGTCTTTGTTGGCTTTTTGAGTGGAGTTGGAAATCATTATAAATTGCTAGATTATATGTATTGGGGTATATTTTGATTAGTTTGCACGTTGTTTGACTAGTTTTGAAGAGACGGGCATCAGGTTGAGGTGTTTGACTGGCGTCGGAGCGGGTTATGGAATTTCGGAGCGAGATAAGTCTCCTGTCTAACCTTATGAGGGGGAAACTACTCCCTAGGTGATATTTATTATTGTGTGTAACTAGATGTGGGTGCTACGTACGCACGAGGTAATGAGAGTCCGTACGTAGCTAAAGCATGTTTGTATCCGGGTAGACTTAGGACTGTATCATGTAATAATTAAATTATTTGAACTCGTTCTGCTAGCTTAATTAATTAAAGTTACATCTGAATTTGATTTAGAAATAAATATATGTATAATAGACCGAGCCTTAACACTTTGAGTGTGGCTGCGCTAATTGAGAAGAGTAAATATTACATTCGTTATGTGCTTATGTACTGTATTGTAAACACGTGTCTCGTAATTCGGTAACTTCCTTCCTTTCTTGTGGAGAGGGTCGAATGCCTCGACAGTATATAGATACTTCTATGGTTCATGCCGCACGACTCTCGGTAGTGTGCACATTATTTTAGTTCGGGCCGAACGACCTCGGCAGAATCGTGCGTTATATTGCTAGTAGTCTGAATATTCACGAGCTAATCTTTCCACTGATGCTCGACATTTTATATGATATTCCTTATTTATTTGATATTCACACTCGACATTTTCTGAGTTGTAAAGGTAGAATACAACATTTTGAAATTTATACTTTAAAAGAAGTAAATGAAAGATTATGTAACTTGCAAATTTATCATTGTTGTATGCTTCATATCTGCTTCTGTTTTATCATATAGCTTTATTGGACCTTTAGTAAGTGTCGATGTCGACCCCTCGTCACTACTTCTTCGGGGTTAGGCTAGATACTTACTGGGTACGCATTGATTTACGTACTCATGTTTCACTTCTGCACTAAATGTGCAGGATCTGACAGGTTTATTTGATGATCACCTTGACGCGTAGGCGCACCTATTGAGGAGACTTTATGTGAGCTGCATTCCAGCCTACGCATCGCAGCCCACCAAGTCTCCATTATACTAATTATTTTATTCTGTCTTATTACATTCGGGACAGATATTGTATTATTATTGAATTTTTTAGAAAATACTCATACACATGTGACACCTGATTTTGGGGATTCCT